CGCTGGCAAAAATCTCAGCCTATTGAGTGAGATGGCTGTGTCAGGCCCTGCGTCATTCAATTCCAAACTACTGGGTACTGTTGTTTGTGTGTGCTCCTTTGTGTGCTTGGTGCTGTGCCACAGTAGTGTTATCTCTACATGGGATGTGATCGCATTAATGTCACAGGAACTACATAGAAGTTTGACATTAACATCATCAAAACCTCGTAAGATGTGAAAGACTGGCCTTAAAGTCCAAATCCGTTCAGAGCTGGGTGGATGCACAGCCTCTCAAATTTCAGCTCTCCCTCCACTGCCACCTCCTCCGCTTTCTCTATCACACTTTCCTGGAAACACAAACACTACGATTCAATAGAAAGTTCGCAAAATGAAATTTCAATTATGAGCGCGCAGCACAGTCATGGCGCATTAGGGACTGGGCATGCCGCGTAGTGGGAGAATGAATGAAAAAGAGTTCTGGCTAATTCAGTTTTAATTGGATTTTAAGGGGGCGCCTTGGAACAAGACTGAAAGGAGAGGGATCTGATGGTTTGTGCTTGGCCATCTGTTGTCCTTTGGTATAAAACCCTCACAGCGAAAAGGACACCAGGGGCCGGTGGTCCCTGTGGGGGAGAGCCAGGATACAGGTGCAGCAGGGCACTATGATGCCGTGGAGAGAGGCTGTTGAGGGGGGCATTCAGGTCCGCCTCTGTTTTGCTCTTAGGGGAGGTACCCCCTTGAGGAGCAACTAGGGCCAGGGGCAGAACAGCCAAGCCGAAACAGCAGCTCAGACTTTTGTACCCACTGTAGGCACTCCTTTACACAAAGGGTTGTGGGGGTGTGGAACGCCCATCCCAGCCATGTCCTCGAAGACAATACCCTAACTTCCTTCGAGAAACAGCTGGAAGAGATCCTCAGAGATCCAGCAAGAGCCCCAGGGGTACAGCCTGTACTACTTCCAGCAGAAGTAGCCTGTGGCTTTCCCAGCTGACTCCCTGTTAATCAGCATAATGAATCTACTTACTGTATTAATAATTGCTTACACTTCTATAGCGCTTTTCTGGACACTCCACTCAAAGTGCTGTACAGGTAATGAGGATCCCCTCCACCACCACCAGTGTAGCTTCACCTCAATGATACAAAAGCAGCCATAGTGCGCCGGTACACTCCCCACACACCAGCTCTCAGTGGGGAGGAGAACAGAGTGATGAAGCCAGTTCAGAGATGGGGATTATTAGGAGGCCATGATGGGTAAGGGCCAATGGGAAATTTGGCCAGGACGCAAAATTGGCCATAGGTTACACCCCTAATCTTTTTGAGAAACACCCTGGGATTTTTAATGACCACAGAGAGTCAGGACCACAGCTTTTACAGTCTAGTGTCCCCTTCACCATACTGGGGCATTAGGACCCACACAGGCTGCGGGGTGAGCGCCCCCTGCTGGCCCCACTAACACCTCTTCCAGCAGCCGCCTCAGCTTTCCCAGGAGTCTCCCCTCCAGGTGCTGAGCAGGCTCCCACCTGCTGAGGGACACGGCTGCAGACAAGTCATCTTTAACCGTCTGTTCAACACAATGTCAGCGCCACTGCTGCAAAAACGTCACTCCCCCGAAAATGAATTTGCTACAGTTATAACCGCTCCATTTCTTCTGAAGCTTGGTAAAGAGCCGATTCATTTTTAACTACAAAAATAATAAAAATCATCTAGAAAAGGTGCCAGGCAACAATCATCTGTGTGCGGCGGTGCCCCTCATTTCCCACTTTTCCGCAAGCGCACCACTCACGGCAGATTGAAAATTAAATCTCTTTTTGACATTTTATCCCCTCCAGCGCGTCTGAAAAATGATGTTCTCTTTTTTTTTTTTTCAAAAACTAGATTTCTTTTGGCATCACCCCACACCTACTTACATTGCTTTCAGGAGCACAGTCATTCTGTTTCATGACTAACTGAACCCAGGATGTAACAGCAGAACGCCGGGTTTTTATCATCTGTCTTATCCATCCTGGTAATCTCAGCGCCACAGCACTCGAATTACAGCGGGCGATGACACGGTGGCGCACGAGGAGTGAAACATCGCCGGGGTGGGCAGTATCAACACCTCGCACGGCGCTCTCCCGCCTGCTGGCTACAGCAGAGGAGTCACGTCTGCGTTTGGCATCCGGGCTCGGAAAACTCATTTTCTGGGCTAGCTTATTAAATTAAAACTCTCTCGTCACGGGTTCAAGAGCACGACCTCCTCCCGACCCCAAACCAAGTACTGACAAGCTTTTGCGTGTTAAGGTTCAAGCCAGCCATGAGGGGGTTTGAAATATCAGCCTCAGGAGAGGGCCGGAGGGGCACCAGTCTGATGTCACTGTAGGGTCCCGACTCTGAAATCTTGCAGCTGAAACTGATGACAGACAGCAGCTCCCAGCACACATTTGGGCCCACCGTGCACAAGCTAAGATCTTGAAAGTGAGGGACAAGCAACTGATGATGACTCGGCGCCAGTCCTATTTCAAGACCATGTGGCAGGACCTGGGAAGTAGTGACTCCAATTCCAGTTTTCTTCAAACAAATACAAAAAAAAGTATTATCACCATACTACTACTCATAACAACAACAACAACAACAACAACAACAACAACAACATTTGCCAGGATATTCAACTTGCATTTCAATGGGCATATAAAACAAATTGCAAAAAAGGAAATGTATTTATTAGGTTGGTCACGCTGAAAGAAGTAAAAAAGAAGTAGGCAGGTCCAGGAAGGAGGCATTTTTAACACAAATACATCCCTTTAAAACAGGCCAGTTAAAAGAGAACGTGGCAGACTAGTGAGCACATAACCCTACTAGGAAACACGGGGAGCTAGTGCTGCCCCCTTCTGTAAAACTGGTGCTACTGCAGAAGATTAAAAGGCATTTTGTTCATAAATCTGTGACTGAACAAACTAGAAACACAATCACTAACCACTGATAACTATCACATTTTAAAAAAACTATGATTTAAATTACTAAATGGAATCAGTTTTGTGCCCAATAGATTGTTAGGAAGAAACTATTAACCATTTTGAAAGAGCCTCTAATTTCTCAAGAATATTGGATATGTACAGCTTATCATATAAATTATATTTTACACATGCTAGTCTGCATGGACGGAGGTGGAGAAAAAAGCCTATAACACGATCACGAAGAATTAGAAGACAGACAAGTGTGTGTTATTTCCTGGGTACTGTCACATTGTCCATAACTTACAGATTTGGTAAAATCCCAGAGTTTTACAGAAGAAATGAAATCTGTACCTGCCCCAGGCATAGCCTGAACAGCACAGGGAACACCTTAGACAAACAGACATGTGGCGTAAAGAGCAGAGAGGTGTGCACACAGGAGACAGGGCGGTTAAGACACAAACGCTCCGCTCAGCACAGCTCTGCAGGAATAAAACAAATATAAATTAAAGGCAAAACAAACAACACCCTGTTGTAGACACAGAAGACACAGAAGACACAGAAGACGCTTGGCAATTTCCAAAACAATCTTATCCTGGAAAGATAAATATTTTCATAATGTGAAACTGAAAACCTGTTTCTAATTCTCGAACACTGTTCCAAATTCACAGACTCGTAAAACATGCAAAGCAGTAACAGAAGGTTAGACCAGAGAGGCTCCACAAGCCTCCTGCTACAGACAAACACAGTCGGCACCAGATTGCACAAGGCTGCAGTTTAAAGGCTTTCAGCAAAAATTAAGCTTATAATGCAGAATTACAGAAAGATCATGAAGAGCTTTAAGATCTTCTGTACTCCAGAGAAGGAGGCCAGTCAGCATTACCTAAAAAAAGAACCTGACTTTTACCAAAATCATTTGCTCCTGCTGTTCAATGTCATAATCATGCCTTTAGGGTACTGCATTGGCTACCGTTTTTAACAACCTCATCAGCACCATGTTTCAGTAATGTGTGCTTCCTAGCTGATTCATAATATTTATTCATTAGGCTGTTCGCCCATAGTCATATAATTCCCCCGAAATGATTCCTGATTTGAAGAATAAGGAGGAAAATTACAAGAAGGTAAAAAACATCATGTTGCCTGTATTAAGTCAGACGTTGCATATTCTGCAGGGAGCAGAAATGGGTATTTAAACACAGTGCACATTTATTCATGCAGAAACCAGGAGGGACTGGTGACTCATCATTACTAACCAGGAGGACAAACAGGAGTGCAAAAAAACAAAAAACAAAAACATGCAAAACATCTCCAGGTCAGCCTGAATGCCAAACATCACAGAGAATCAAAACGGAAATACAGAAAGAGGATCAATGCAAGAGCAGACCTGGAGGAAATCTGCATCCTGTTTTGGTTAGGGACCATACCGCTGAAGGTGGATCTTTTTCCCCGGTCCAGGCTTGTAAACATGAGGCACAGCGCTCCTCGGCACACTCAGCTGGTGACCTTTCAAAGCGGCTGCACAGTGCAACACACATGACACTCACCCTGCTGCCAGACCCCTCTCCAGACGATCCCTGACCTTGGTTAGCCCTCTGCTGCTCAGAGTGAGCTCCCCAAGCTCCTTTTCTGGGCTAGAAGAAATTGCGTAGCTCCAGTCCTGGCAGATGTGCACAGATCCCCTTGCTTAACTGCTTTAAGGAGCTCAGTCCAGAAATAGGGGCTCTAGTCACCCCAATGTGGACACACAGCATGGAACATCTGAGAGACCCATGTTTGATCCCCTACGTATTCATTGTCCTGCAGCCATTATTTGTAGCAGGTCTACAGAACGGGGGATTTGAATCTCCTTTTACCTACAGCAGGACTTCATTACAGTGAAGAGGAAGACCCTGACAGAGACAGCAGCTCCCTGCCTACTCCCAAGAAGAGGGCAGCTCCCCATAAACCTGTCCGGTCAGATTTGCCAACTGCTCGCAGTTTCCTGGGATGAGATGGAAACAACCGCCCGAAAAAACACAGACAAGGCATCCAAAACAAGCCGGCTGTGGCGAAAGACATCTCATCCGCAGAGAAAACAACCCAGACAAGAAGTGCTGTGCATACAAGATTTTATAATAAATAAGTTCCTGATTCTTACAATGAAACTCAAGTCCGGTTGGGTACATGTGCTGTGAAGCGGCGCAACACTGCAAGACTTACGCCACGTATACACAGTCATTTTGCAATCGCAGACAAGTCACGCACACACACTTGCAACCACGCACACACACACAGACGCTGAAAGTGCAGTAAAAGGCAGGTCTGAGCTCTGCTCCTCGGCTGGTCCAGCAGGGTCCCCCCCCCTGCAGGGGGGGGGGGGTCAGGGCGCGTGCCGGGCAGCGCAGGACAGGCAGGCGCAGCAGGCGCACAGCCCCAGCACAGCGGACACCAGGGCAGCCAGGCGGGACTGCCGCTTGTACTGCAGGGCCTTCTTGACCTCCTGGCCAGACTCGCAGACGTAGTCCACCGCGCGCAGGACGTTGTACTCGATGCAGTCCAGCCGCGCCTGCTGCTCGGCCACGGCCGCCTCCAGGCTGAGGAAGAGGCCGTGCAGCTCGGCGATCTGCTGCTCCAGCGCCAGCAGCTGGTGGTGCCGCTCCTGGGCCAGGGCCAGGTGCTGGCGGGCCTGCAGCACCTGGATGTCGGAGCCCACGAGCTGCGGGGCCTGGGGGCTCTCCACCAGCCTCTGCACCTCCTGCTCCGGCAGCTGCAGCCCCGCCAGTTGGGTCTGGCGCACGATCTGCTCCTTCAGCCGGCCCACGTACTCCGTCTCGCGGGCGTAGTGCCGCGCAACCACCTCCCTGTGCCGCCGGGCCAGCGTGTGGCAGTGGCACTGGTGGATGCGGCGCTCGGCGCTCATGCCCTGCCAGCCCGCCTCCTCCTCCCTCATCCTGGACAGCTGGGCCTGGATGCCCCTGGCCTGGGCGGCGAACTGGCCCTTCAGCTCCGCCAGGAGCTGCTTCTCCGCACACACCTGCTCCTTCGTCGTGCTGCACAGCACCTGGGCCTGCTTGACGGCAATGTCGTCCGACAGCGCCTGCAGCCCGTCCAGCTCTCCGCAAATCCCGGTGACAACCCTGAAGAACTCCGCGATCCCTGTGGCGGGCTCCTCCTCGAAAGCTGGATTTTTGTACCCCGGGGATTCGCAGCCCCCCTCGGCGTCCTCTTCCTCCTCCTCCCTGTAACCCCTCAGCTCCTCCAGCCTGTCCTTCATCTCCAGCCCCTCGGCACACCAGCGGTGGCCAGCATTCCCCGAGACTCACCGAGGAAATTCCGGATCACCGGCCCAGATTCCTGGCGATCAGGATGTGAGTGCGTGCGTTTCTCGGCTCCTCCCCTCCCTGTCCAAGGCCCTGGCAAATATTGACAGAGGCCACAAACACATAGGCAGCCTGCTTCATGCGTCATATGATAAAGCCCCTTTTTTTTCCACACAAGGGCTGGGAACAAGCTATAAGCCAGGAGAGGGAAGCTGCCTCTAGTACGGAAGCACAAGAAACACTCATCCAAGCACAGGCCCACTGCAGGTTGAATGCGTCCCTCTGCCTTCTCAGGTAGATCTCTCCTGTTGCAAAGTCAGTGTAAATATCGCAATCACTTCATGTTTTACCAGCAGTACAAACAATCTCGTTAGGGCTGGGACCAAACCCGGTGCGTTTCCAATACTGACCTGTTCAACCGACAGCGTCAGTAACGCCAAGGTGCACCATGGAGCAACACCTTCACAAACTTACTGATGGAACCATGTAAACACTTTTGCATGGACAAGGGCAGTAAAAAGGGGACTGTGGTCACAGGTGTCCAAAGACAAATACTCGCAATCCATCACACACAGCAACACTAGAAAACAAAATAGCCCTGCTGTTTGCATCTGTCTGGGCACCACTTTTTGTTGCGTCACAGTGCAGGGATTTAACAACACAGCTGTTTGAACAGGTAGGCCCAAGCAGCCTGAACAGCCTCATCACATCTAGCTCTCTGAGGTATCAGCTAGCTTCTGACACCCAGCGTGGTTGAAACAGAGTATGCACTGCACTGCATCCCTTGTGGACCAAACAATCCCATTCAAATCACCAGTGCACCCGTAATCTTTAAAATTATTACAGTTTAAGACGACAAACAGATTTATCTTATCTTTTAAAGAACACTTATCAGCTTCCCCAAAGAGCAGCCTTTTCAATTCTCAGCCACAGCTAATACTGTGAGGTTATCAACAAGAGAAGTGCTGTTGCTCTTAAAAGGAGCAAGATGGAATGTGTTCTTAGTGTATTTTTTCCCCATAATAAAAGGGCAATGTTTGCCTTCCTCTAACCACAGTGCCCTCAATTAATAGCCTGCACTTGACAAGCTCTTCTTGCAGAGAAAGGCTAACACTGCCTTCAGTGCACGGGGTAGGATTGAAACCAAATGTAATGGCAAGGCAAATATTTCTCACCAGATAGAGGGCAGCTGGAACGGCCCAGGATTCCAACAGAGCGGGCGGAGAAGTTTTCTTTTCGTAACGCGAGAGTCCGTCACATGGGAACGGTCTTAACCCGCAGTGGACTGAGATTAACGAAAAATAAAAACCATTTCCCGGGCAAATTGGCGCCGCACAGCTCAGTCACTCTTAAAGGGTGCCGAGACTGACTTCTGCATGTGGGGGGTGGTGGTGGGGGTGGGTTGGGGCGGCCCTAGATGACATCACCTGTTTGTTTGCAAAGCAGTTCATGCAGGATCGTCTGAGGCCTCCCCCCCGTCACACAACTGACAGAAGCAGACAAGACGAGGGCACGCCCACCCACACAGCCCTGCAGGAAGGCAAGCTTGTCAAACCCCTGGCCCACAGAAAGGGAATTCAGTTTTGGAAGCGGAATTTAATTAGCTCAAACGTTTGGCAGAATTTTTACACCCCACCAGTTGCTGCACAATGCCGTTTGCGAGCAAACTCCAGCCCATTCAAAACCTCGCCGGTTTCCCATTCGATATTCCTGTATTGGGAATCTACCCCTCTCTTCTTTGATTGAGGACCAGAAGCCAGGGTTCTGTCACAGTTTTGAAAAACACATGCAATGGCACTCAATACTGGAGAAGAAAGAAGAACGCTGAGAGGAAAAGCAGCTAGTTTGTTTCATTAACCTCCGTCTACTTCAATCCTCTACAAGATGTCGATCTCCAGCAGGGCTGCCTTTGAAATCGCGACCGATTCTCTGAAAGATCTAAGTGCTGTTGTTGCTGTGTGTGCCAGTTTGACATCTGGGAGAAAATCCATCCTAAATATTTTGAAAAGGCAAAGATTTATTTAAGAGTGCGGTCTTGCGTAGCCATCACTAATTTAAGCGGCAACATAACCACACTAAGAAAAACATTCAAAACCATTATACGCCAAAACACATAAGCCTTAAACATTTCGTCTAACTGCAGGCCATTACCTCAGCTGACAAATGCAACTTAATGTGTATAGTTAAGCAGACGTGAGGTCTTCTGGAACAAAAGTTACAAAGAACTGAGTCCTATTTCTCTGAAAAGTTATGATAGCTAGGGCAGACCACACTCAAATTGTGTCTGAAGGAATTCATTTTTCTGTCCAGCAGTATTTAAAGTACTCCGAACCGATTGCTAGTAAATGCAAGATGAAGTTTATGACGCAGAGCTAAAACCTCCTGCCAGCCAGTTTATTCCACAGCCTCTTCCCTGGTCTTGGGACGCGGCTCTGTCGTCGTGGTGCCCTGGTCAGGGTCTGGTCAGTGTGCGGTGTTTTCCAGCACCAGTCTTCATCAAGCTGGAGTTTCTCCAGCTTGCTCAGGAACTCCCAGACCTTCTGTGGCAGCTTATTAGTGTTAGAGAAACGGGTGACCACTTAAATTAGGGAGAGCAGCACAGGTGTTACCAGGAAAAAGGGCCAAAGTGAGCAAAGGCCGGAGACCATTTTTAGGGGTCTGGATTTCACACCCAGCAGTGTAGCTTTCACTGTATTAGCAGCACAAGAGGAGTTTAAACTGCACGGTAACAATGTTCTTCTCAAAGGAGAGGAGGTCTGGGCCTCATTCAGACATTTCATAAAGGATCCTGGGAAATCTGCCTCAGCAGGCGGCTGGGAGCCTTTTCCCTTAAATCTCGGATTCTGTGCGTGATGAAGTGTTTCTTCTTTTTTTTTTTTTAATTCCCAGAAGAACTTCCTCGTCCCTTCCGCTTCGCCAAAAGAACCCCCCTCAGCGCTAAAGTGGAAACGACAAGGAAGCCGACGTGGGACTGAAAAGCCTTCCTGTGTGCGCTTATGCCCAGAAACACTCTATAATTTACATTCCTCCACGCTCACTCCTCACAACTCGCACCGGAAACCACTGGAGCTGCACAGGGGTCTCCTCCAGCACAGCTCAGTGACAGGTAGTTAAGACTCTAGTCCGGGGCTGATGGAGAAACTGGCTTCTTGATGTGCAAGTGGGTGAGGACGCTGGAGCCAGGTGTTACTACAGGAGGTCAGCCAAGGAAGACAGAGCTGCACAGCGGTGTAAAACAGATTAAAACTTTTATTCGCCTACCAGTGAAAATGGAAACCAGCTACAAAGCACATAATACACTCAATTAGAATCAGAATCTCTATCAAAAAATGAAAACTTTACAAAAATGTACAGGTTTGTTGTTTTTTTTTTTACAATAAAAAAAAAATCAAAAACTAAAAGCCACAGCTATCTCATTGCATATAAATTATTACATTTGGTCTGCCTTGTTGGCAATGTAGAAGATTCCCTGAACGTTTCTAGAGAGGGTCCTGAGCGGTGGGGCGGGGAAGATGGATTTGGCGATCGTGGGGATGGAGGGAGGGGGAGGGGGAGGGGGTTAGTTTTGTGAAGCCCTTCCAGGCAACAGTGTTGGAGAAAGCTCAACGCCAAAACAAGAATTTCATCGTTTCAGGCTGTTCAGCTGCTGAGCTATTTTTCCCCCATCTCCCCGGCTCTCAAACGCACACCATTCCACCCGCGAAGAGACTCGTTTTAGAACAAAGCCCGCAATTAAGACTTTTGTGAGCCAGAAACCCGCAAAGTTGTGGAAGGACTGCGACAAAACCGGCGCCCCTCCCCAACACAGCTGCCTAGCGGGCTGAACGCTGCCAACAGAGAGAAGGGGCCCACGTGGAGAAGAACACCAGCAGAACCAGCAGGAGGGGCCCACTCTTTCGAAATGGGCAGTTTATTGCTCTCCTACGTATGGTGTGGAATAAAAGAGATCACTGGTCAGAAGCACTATTGCTCCTTCCTGTTCATCTGCGACACAGCACCCTGGCACCATTATGGATTGAAACAAGTTCTGAACAAATGAGATTCAGAACAAATAGCATTTTCATGCGTGTCGGCAGGATATTTGCAAACTAGATTCAGAGCATACACTGCTGGGTTTGCCAGTAATATGGAGGCATTCTTAAAAAAAAAAAACTTTTGCACTCACTTTAAATCAGAACCTCTCTTGAGTTGCGCAGAAGTGTGGTGGCAACAATGAAAGCTCACTGGCTCCCCCTTCTGGACTGACTCTGACCTGCATTTCTGTTGCTGCAGGTCACATTGAAACACTGGGCTCCTCTGGAACTTCTCAGTTTCCTCCTACCAGACGGAGAGGAGGAACGAATGCTGGTCAGCCCTTCAGAAGAAATGAGGGCTCTGAGCTTTTCCGTTTCCGGCAGGACTGCGCATTAAGACGTGGAAAATCCCTCCCACGATCTGCAGAACGGATTTTCGGCCCTTTTCCTTCACGTTGGAAAAGTGGTATTCCGCGCGAAAAGGAGAACAAAAATAAGTCTTCTGGGATGCTCGGCTGGAGCCAGTGCCAGAGCTCAGGGAACATTCGGAGGAACTCTGCATGGCATAAAAGCAGGGGCTGAAGGCAAATCACCCTTCCACCGTAAAAATAGCACCTGTGCGGAGACTGAAAAGGACTCCCCCTTCACAGTCTCCTTATAATTAGCACAACTCCCGCACACAAGTGTAATCGCTACTGTCCTGACTGCTACAACAAGTGGGGGAGAAAGAGGCTGTGTGGGTTACCCTGTCCTCACTAACACACCTTCAGCACGGTCCAGGAGCTTCATCTCGAGTTCAGAATCGGCTTCTCGTCTTAGTGCAACAGCAGATTCACTTCATAGCAAACTACAACAAGCACAGGAAACTCGGGGCACAACTGAAGAACATAAGACAGCCTGTAAACGAGAGGGGACCCTTCATTCGTTCTTCCAGCACGTTGAGTTGCCAAAACGGAAGCTATCTAACCCAAAAATCATCCCCTCTTGTGATAAGTCAGTAGCTTGTTCCAGACTCTCGCCACCCTTTCCGTGAAGGCAAGGCTCAACGCACCACATGACATTTTAGTAACAAAAACCTTGCAGGCCTGAACTGTGATTTGATGTCAAAGCTGCCTGAAAATGTCTTCAGTTACAGACACATCTGAGGCCCTCCACCTTAGCCACCACTGTCACAACATGATCAAAAGGTTCATTTAAAAGCGACAACGCCCGACTTGGAACGCAGAGGCACGCAACACTATTCCTCCGAGCGGTCTCCCGGCTGATTAGTTCAACACACTGGTGGTGTGAGCCGAGCGTTTTCTCGAGAACAAATCAGGGAGAGACGTCCCCGGAGACGAGCTAAAAAAAGTTCAAGAAGGACTTGAGAATCAAGCAACGCTGTAATTCCGGTGTAAAAAAATCATTTTTTACTGCTTTCCAAACCACAACCGAATTATAAACCAGGTTTTTTTTGCACGGTTTTCATAACCAAAGATCTGTCATGTTTTTGGTAATGCACAAGGGAACCCTGCAGGAAGTAAGGCTGATATAACCAGCATCAATACTGTTGGTTTACCTCTGCAGATTAAGGCATTACAAGAAACAACTGTGAGGCCACAGCTGGGCTTCTCTAAAGGAGCTACTGCTCCTCTCTGCTACATGCCAGCATTATTAAGACCACTTACACCCAGCAAAGCTCCACTATATTTCAACTTCACATGAAGGGTCAGGGTGACCTGCTAATTCACAACTCCTGCAACATCCAGCCTCCGATCAGCCAGGAGATCTTGACTTCTCTGGTCCTTTTAAGATTTTATTTTCACCAAAGAAGACCAGAGGTCCTCGACGCAAAACCACCAATCACAGCCCACACCGTGCGACGCGGACTCTTGACATGGGGAGAGGTTTAGACATGTATGGCCAATAACGAAAAAGTTGAAGGCGAAATTGAATCGCTGCTACAGCTACTCTGACAGCCAAAACCCCTGCAAAAATCCATCATGGCCTCCTACCTCAACATCTTCCCTGATTCACAGCATACTGAATAATAAGAGTTGCTATACATTTAAAAACCAATCACATTAGCCAACATAACAGTAAGGAGTATATATATAATTACGAGCACACAGGTCTTCTAAGGTCTTCTTAGGAGAAATGCATACATACTAATGCAATCAGACAAAAAGTAATGTAAACAATGTGACTGCTAAAATGTTAATACAAAAACACCGAGATTGTTCAAGCACACCCTGCTCTGCAGAGACGCGCCTCCTCCTAACAGCTGCATCATCTGGACTTCTGCTGAATCATAGCAAGATATTAGCCATCATCTCCCCATTTAAAACGCTGATTCATAAATAACTACAAATCCTTTGATAAATCTATTGCCAGCAGCAATCTGAGGGGACAACAGACTAACTCACTCAGTTATGTCATACACTTTTTGTAAAACTGTCACCCTCTAACCAGATGAAAAAAGCACAGAGCACTACTCTAATTTGCTTTAATTTTGGCCTGTTCAGCCTAATACTCCCCCTATTAAACTAGATCTTATTATGCTAGATACTAGGGAACATAAATCCACTCCGAGCACAAACTCCAGTCAAAAGCAAATCACTGAAGGCAAAAGGGCTACACATGATGCCAGTTCAAGAACACCCCTGCAAACCTCTGTATTTTACAATGTATTTTACAAGGCCCAGCCCAAAAGTTGTGATGCAAGAACAAAAGTTTAAAAAAAATACAAAAATGTACAGGGTTTTTGACTTAAAGTAAAAAACAGCACCAAAGACAAATTCAAATGTACTCGTTCACCCCCCTCGAAACCAGCAGCACTGAGGGGAAAGATACATGATGTACTACCTGTATGTAAAAAAAAAAAAAGCAGCTTACTCTTGAGAAAAATGTTTGCAACATTATAAAATTCAACCAAGCATGAGCACATGCTGGTAGTCTGCAATAAAACCTCCCATGTGTATCCGCTGCTAATAAAGCCATCAGCCCAGAGAACACCACTCCAGCAGCAGAAACGCCAGACTTCGCCGGGGGGCTGGAGGATCTCCGGGATTTCAATCCAGTGCGTCCTTCAGCTTTCTCACTTGGCCAAACGTGGTATTCGTTTCCCCAAGATCTCTCAACGACATCCAATTCAAAAGATGCTCTTCTTTCAAGGTGCAGTGCCCCTTATTCGGCTAGGAAAAAGACTCTTCCCACTGGGACAATGCAACTACTTTCGGGACCAAGAGAGGAACGTCCCGCTTCCAGCTGGTTGCGTGGCGACCGTCTCCAGGACCCGAGACAGGACCCGGGCCGACACCAGGGACGCGCAGAGCTGCGGGTGGGATCCGTTCAGCACCTGCGGAGCTCCGAGCTTCGGGTGATTTCTCACTGCCCCCTTCCACCCATGGACACATCACAGTACAATCAGTACTGGAATACCGATTCCAACCCCAGGGGCTGGAATCGCCGGGAAACGCAAGTCCGGAGGTCTTCTCTGCTGTTAGAAAGAAGATGATGGAAAAAAGAAATCCTGCTTTGGTTTTGTGCCGAGGTCCAACAGCGGGCCCACTGCATGGCGCTGTGGAGGCCGATGCCCGACGGAACCCTGCCTGCCACCTGTCCGCAGGAGCAGGCTGGGGGTGTGTGCGTGGGCAGAGGGGTAACTCTTCAGGGCACCAGAACCCCCGCCGTGCTCCAGACGCACAGCTCTGGCAGGTGAAAGTGGTGAGCCGGCGCGCAGGGGCTGCTCTGGGAAGGAGGTCTCGGCTGGGACGACAGACGCGCTCGGCTCGTGATCCGCAGGGATGCAAGAGGTGTTCCCGCGGGACAGGGGGACGGAGGCGGGTTGCCTGCGACCGCGAGACGAAAGGTCCTCGACGTCTGGAGCCGCGGGCGCCGGAGAGAGACTCCTGTGTGGGCTGTGCCGGTCTCAGGAGGCCTCCTCCCAGCTTGCGAGAGCACCAGCTGGGCTGCCCTCTCCACCCCTGCTGCAGACGTCTGAAGAAACGCACTGCTCAGACCCAAGTAACTGCCATAGGACACGGCTGAAGTCGGATCAGTAATTGGTCATTTAATGCTTGTAAAAAAAACGTAAACTGCTGTCTATAAAAAAAGCCCTGACCACACATGTAAGCTCTGTAGGTTGGCACCATAGTTTTGTTGTTTTGGTTTGTTTTTTTTTGAGTTCATAGTCATGGAAATGAGACAATTTGGGGAAAAAAAAAAACTGCTACCAAAAAAAAATCCATTTACTCATCGAGACAAACTGTGCAGATATTTGTCACAAAGGCACCTGCCAGAACGAGCTGCTCTTTCTCCCTCCTGAGGAACTGGCCCCCAGAAGCTAACCTCACCTATCACACAGCTGCGCCCCCGCGCTGAGCAGGTCTCCCCGTTACTGCCATGCCCTTTCACCTCTCACCCAAGAGCTAGCTCTCGCTATGTGTTACAGCTGCCTTGTACAATTCATAATGCTGTGTAAACGTCATCATGACTAGAAAAACAATGGCAATGTCTAGAATACAATAGTGTAAAAAACGTATTCCTAGTCTGAAGTGTTGGTTTATTCTAAGCAGCGGAAGCAAAGTTTGTGCAGCTGCCTGAATTACTCACGATGCACCATGTTGCCACAGCTGAGGTTCTCATTTCTCATCTCATTTTCCAATGGGTCCAGAATTCCACTGATGACAGCCCAGCTGCAAGGCTTGAAAGTGAACTTGGTCGGGTCTCTCCTTAACTGAACTGTGCTCGAAAATTAATGTTCTGCAAAGCTTGACCAGGCAGGGAAAATGCATGCATAGCCCAGAATAAAACAATAAGCCGAACCTCTATGAGCAATGGATGTTCTGATGCCCCCGTTGAAAACTTTGCAAGGGTCTAGACCATTGGTGTTCAGATCTGGCCTCAGGGAGCCCCAGTCCAGAAGGTTTAATGAGTCTTTAAATCATCATCATGTCAAAAGGCCCGGAACAATCTCACTATGATTAAACAGGTGTTGCTCAATTAAGTAATTCAAGGATCGTCTGGAGCAAAATTCAGAATGGCCATCAGCCCTCAAGGACAAGTGTTCAACTTCATCAACGTATTACTTCTTAATGGATCTATTGTTTAAACAAGCGGTGCTCCTTTTTAAACAGCGGGCGATTTCGCGTGACCTGTGAGAATACCTGGATTGGGGCTCTCCAGCACCAGGGTTCGACCTTAAAAGCTCGAGGCTGAAACCCACAAGACAGTCCCCAACACCACCACGGTGACCCCAGACGCAGGGGGCTCCCCAGAGACCGCACTGACTCTGGCCCGGCGGCAGAGAGCACGGAGCGCCCTGGGAAGGATGCTCTGTGACCCACAACGCACCGCTTCGTGGATGACCGGCACGGCCCTGCCTGTCTGGGAGAGGAAGTACGGCGATGTCCCCCGATCCCCGGTTCGAGTACCGGAGCCGGGATGCAGAGCCGGGGGGGACAGGAGGTCCGGCGCGCTGTAAGGCGGAGGGGGGGGATAAGGCTGGCAGCTGCTGTCGCTGGGCAGCGCGGAGACGAGGAGGAGAATCACTGGCAAGGAACATGAGGGTGCCAGCGGGCGGAGCAGGAGCAGTCTCTCACGCAAGCATGCATCGGAGACCAACAGAACCGAAACTAGGAGGAAAAAAAAATCCCTGCAGTATAAAATGTAGTAAATCCTTTTCCAAACTCCTTTAAATAAAGTGTCGTTTTGTACTGGTTTCAGGTATAAAAACGTCCGGTCCGCCAGTGGTGGAGGAGAAGCCCGGCGCCGGTCAGTGGTTCCACCCCATCAGGTGGCTGACGCGCGCCTTCTCCGTCATCCGCCGCACCCGCCCCGACCGCGACATGCCCAGGTTGAGGGGGTCCTCGGGGGGCGCCAGGGCGTCGTCCTCCGAGTCGTCGTTGTACAGCACCGTCCTGCGGCCCTGGTTCCGGGTGTTGATGCGGGACGCCTTGCCGGGCGCGGGGCGCCTGGCCCCCTGGCCCTGCGTCCTGCCCGGCCCCTCCTGCTGCTGCGGCCGCTGCACCTGCGCCCCCTCTTCCTCCTCCTCCTCCTCCTCCTCCTCTTCCTCGAGCCTGGCACGCTTCGGCCGCCCCCTCTTCGGCGGGCGCCCGACCTTCCTGCGCCGGCGTTTCCTGGGGCCGGCGGCGGCGGCGGCGGTGGTGGTCCTGGCCTTGCCCTTGCCCTTGCGGGGCGGGCACAAGCGGGCCGCCTTGCTGTAGTCGTGATCCCCCCCGTCCACGAAATCCCGCTCCGACTCGGACCCGGAGCCGGAGCCCGAGCTGCTGCCGCCGCCACTGCCACTGCCACTGCTGCTGCTGCTGCTGCTGTTGTTATTGTTTTTGTGGTTGTTGCTGCTGCTGTTCCGGGTGCCCTCGCTGTCCGAGGAAGAGGAGGACGGCGAGGAGGAAGAGGACGAGGAGGAAGAGGAGGAGCTGGAGCCCCGTCTCTCGCTATCCGACGCCTCGCCCTCCTCTGGCCCCAGGCCCAGCCTCCTCCTGGCCGCCGCGCTCAGAGAGCGCCCCCCGCCGTTGGTGAGCGGCCCGTTGGCCAAGGCGTCTGGAACAGAGGGCACAACGGAAACCAGCTGAGACATCTCTCTCGG